GTCATTAAAACAGTGTTGGGTTTTGTCAAATGCTTTTTCTGTTTCTTGTGATTTTTGCTTTTTATTGTTTTATATAATGTATTATATTTATATTTGTATTATTTTTATTAATTTTCAGATATTAAATCGAGCTTGGTTATAGTGTGAGCTTGTGCATGCATGCATGTATATGTATATCACACTATTTGTAAAGACACTTATTATAAAGAATTTGCTCATGTGATTATGGGGGCTGGCAAGTCTCAAAAATCTACAGTGTGTGTCCGCAGACTCCAGAGGAATGAAAGCCAATGGTGTAATTTCCTGTTGGCTGGCAAGCTAGTGACCCAGAAAAGTCAATGGTGCAGATAAGACTAAAGGCAGTCTGCTGGAGATTGCCTCCTGTTCAAGGAGGCCAAACTTTTTGTTCTTTTCAGGCCTTCAACTGTCTGAAGACCATGCACATTATGGAGTGCTGATTTTACTTTACTCAAAGTTCACTGATTTAAATATTAATTTTATCTAATTACACCCTCCAACATGACAAATAAATCATCTCAACAATGTTTCAGGATAAAAAATTAGCACACAAATTCATCTGTAATTTTATACACTTATGATAAATAGTCTGAAAAGGAAATTTAAAAATTCCATTCACAATAGTATCAAAAGAATAACATACTTAGGAATAAATTTAACAAAATTAATGCAAAATTTGTACTCAGGAAATTATAAAACATTGCTAAAAGAAATTAAGAAAAATCCATATAAATGGAAATAGGAAAGGAGAAAATATTCACAAATTATGTATCTGAAAAGGTATTCTACCCAGACTTGATAAAGAAATCTTATACCTCAACAATAAAAGGAAAAAAAAATCCAACATAAAATGAGCAAAGGATCAGAATCAATATATCTCCATTTATATATATATAGATAGATAGATAGATAGATAGATAATAAGTACATGAGAAGATGCCTCACTTTGTTAGTCATTAGAAAAATATAAATCAAATCCACTATGTGTGACCACTTCATACCCAGAATCAAAAAGTGAGACACATATAAGTAAGAATTTGAAGAAATTGAAACTCTCATACACTGATGTTGGAAATGTAAAAAATAAAAATAATAATAATAATGGTGCAACCACTTTAGAATACAGTTTTGGAATTCTTCAAATGATTAAACATAGAATTACCACAGGGATTTGGTCTATTTATCTTTGTGCATGTGACCTTTGAACTGTGACTCAAACATGGTAGGCATCAATATAAAATTGTTGGCTGAATAAATGCTAATAATTTATGGTTATCACAATATATTCAATTATTTTAAACTTTCTTCATGGTAAGCTTCAAGTAGCCTTGTTTAAATGTCAAAATAATGTTTTTTACTTATTGATTCTGTTTGTTCTGTATTTGGTTATCAGAACAGGAAGAGCCTCTACTGTGCAGGATGAAGCACACTTGAGATGGGGCTCCAAAAATTACATAGTTGTTTCTAACTTTTCTTTACACTGTCTGAAGGATTGGTCTTCTGAAGTCTTAGCTCTCAATTTGGATTTCCTAATATAAATGCTAGAAGAATTACTTGCCATGATGCTTAGATTTGTTATAAGCATAATATTATCAGTATAACAATAGACATTTAGCTTCAAATGGAAATATAAAAGGACATACAACAGTATTAGATAACCTAGAAAACTGATTATAGTTCTAGACAAGTAACATTATTATTATTTTCTCCAGTGTGTAATTGACCAAAAATCTGAATTGAAAAAAAACTAACATCACACTGGGCTTTGTGAGATGATAACACATGCTGGAGATTGAACCCAGAGCCTTGAACCTAATAAGCATGCATTCTACCACCCATCCGCTAGAAAGCACTTTAAAAAGCAATATCATAATAACATTGATTTAAAAATCAATGCAAAACTTCTAACTGCCTTTCCATCCTACATGTTCATACACACACACTCACATATTTTAAGATTGAGGAGAAACTCCAGGTATTCATACTTTTTGGTATAAAGTTATTCATTGGAATTTTGTTGAATTTCCTGCCTGTCCCTGCAGGGGATTGAACCCAGAGTCACAAATTCTAAGCAGGTACTCTACTATGCACAGCAGAAGTTTTTCTTATAATTAAAAACAAATTCCTTGTGTTTCTGTAGTTATTTCTCCATCACTTTTAGAGAAAAAAATATAGAAAGTTTCTATAATCTTTGGAGAAAACAAAAATTTCTTAAGCAGTACATTAAATTTCTCAATGTAGTAATTCATAAATTGAATTACGTTAAAATGAAGAACTTCTATTCATAAAACACCTTATTAAGGGAATAAAAATAGTATTATATTGTGTGCAAATATAAATATGTAATTATGAATCTCATCATTATGTACAACTGTCATGTACCAGTAAAAACTGGAAAAGAAAAAATAAGATTAAGGGGCAATTTATAAAGTTAAAGAATATATTCAGCATACATTATCTGACAAAGGATTTACATTCAGAATTTCTACAAATCAATAAAAATGAAATATAAATAAAAAACAACATGAGCTAATAACTTCACAAAAGAAGATATACAATATGGCCAATAAATGTATGAAAAGTGCTCATCTTCATCAGGCATCAGGGAAATGTATATTGAACCATGACATACCATTGCATACTCACCAGAATGGATAGAAGTAAAAAGGTGGAAAGTGCCAAGGGTTGGTGAGGATGTAACCACAACTTTAATACATTGATGAAAGTATAAATTGGCACAACCACTTTGGAACCTGTTTTGTTGTGTCTCTTAAGACTAAATGTATGCATTCCCTTTGACAGAGCAATTCTATTCCTGGCAATTCTATTCCCACTACATATTTCACTAAAACACATGTTCCAGATGTCTGAGCAGTACTATTCAAAATTGAAAATCAATCAAATGCATATCAACAGTGGAACCATAAATTATGATAATGGTCTACTACAATGTGTAAAAATATGAATAAACCTTAAATTGTAATATCAACTAAAGTGACAGCTCATACTACGTGATTCTATATCTATAGAATAATCAGGAGAAACGAATGGAAGTCAGGACAGCAATACTCTTGTTGAATGAATAGAAACTGAAAAGTAAGAAGTTTCTGGAAGGATGGTACTATTCTGTTTCTTGGTCTGACTGTTGATTTCACATGTTTATTCAGTAGAGCTGGGACAAGGCACGGAAAGCAATATACTAAGGACAGCACAATTTAAGCTCACTCTTGGCATCTGAAAACAACCTTAAAATATGTCTCCTTATACCAGTAGAGCAGAGAAAGGAGACTAGGGAGAGGAAGAAGGGGAGGGAATGGGAGTTACTAGGGAATGGAAATGACCAGATTTTGTTATTTGCATGTATGAATATGTAACCACAGATTCCACAGTTATGTACAATTATAATGTGCCAATAATTTTTTTAGAAATTAGAAAAAAAGGCTCCCCTAAGCATCTTATTTGTTTTACCCTTCTAACAGTCCTAGTATTCAGTTTGTGAATATTTATTGAACTACATTATTATGACATATATATTTTATGTATATAGATTATGCTTAAATTTAACAAATGTTAAAGGGTTCTAGTCTACCTCAGAACATAAATGAAAACAAACTTTTAATGTTCTAAATGTGATGTGGGCATAGTGGACAATTCTTATCATCTCAGCTACTCAGAAGGCAGGAGGATAGTAAGTTTGAGGCCAGTCTGAGAACCTAGTTAGAAAAACAAAACAAAACAAAAATGGCTGAAGATGCATATCATTGGTAGAGTGTGCCTGGGTTCTATCTCCATAACTGCAAAACAAGTAAACAAACACTTAATGTGGGTATGGGATGTGGCTTAGTGTTAGGGTATGTGCCTAGTATGTGCAAGGCTTTGGATTCAATTGCCAGTACTGGGTGGGAAAATAAAGGGAAGAAAGGAACAAAAATTAAAAACATAAATGTGAAAAGAAAAATTTTAAAACTTTCAGGATAAAATACAGGAGATTGTTATTAACACCTTGATGTAGAAAAGGATTTCTTGAGATACCCATAAGCACATATTAAAAAAAAGAATAAACTACATTAAAATTAAAAACATTTATTTATCAAAGACCTCTTAAAGAAAGTTAAAAGACAAGAAAAAACCTGAAAAAATATTATAACACAAATAAGTAAAAAAGAAATAAAAATTCAGAACACCTTTTAAAAGTCAATAAGGAAAAAATAAATAATCAATGGTAAAATGTATGAACCAGGCATAGTGGTGCATGCCTGTAATCCCAGCAATTGTAATGGACATCTGAGTGGTGACTCTTGGCCTCTGAGGAATTGCTGAAGAAAGCAAGTTACTGTGAATGTGACCTTGAATTATATCTATCCTCAGCCTCTTCCAAACTGTCTCTCTGCTTCCAGGATGCAATGAGGTAAAAAGATTTCCTTTATCGTGCCACTTGGTAATGACGTTTCTTCTTGGTGCAAGTGACTGTGGACTAAGAACACTGAATCCATAAATCAAAATTAAACTTTTAGTTCTCTGTTACCGCTGTCAGTTATTTTGGTCACTGCAATGAAAAGCTAATGAACATGATTGTTTTATTTTTAGAAATTCTGCCATAGAAGGAAGGAATTTCCTGAATAAATTAAAAATAGGACATGTATCCTGATAAACCCAGGAATGTGTATATTTGAAACATTGGCTTGTATTCCCACATTGGCTTTCAATGAAGGTAAGCATTGGTATCATTTTATTAAATGAATAGTAATGCCTGCAATCTTTCATCTTTTAGAATTCTTTCTAATGCTAGACTTTCTGATATTTACAAATTAATTACAGTAAAAGTATTAGAAATTAGTTTCAATTTTATAAATTATTACAGAGGCTTCTCATTAATCATATATCTAATGCAAAGCATTTAATATTTATATGTA